CAATACGTGTTCTTTCCATTCCATTTCGTTGCTGCCTGCAACTTTGTCCCACCCCAAAGTAGTCGAAGGTTAACCCCTTCATGACGCTGCGGCGACTGGGGCTGGCAGTGATTGTGACGGAGGCCTTGATGTGTGCCTCTTCGTGCTCCAATCAGATGGGTGGATTACTGCGCTTGTGATAAGTGGCTTTTGAGAGCTAATGCAAATCCCCTTGTTTATAAACACTGCAACGTTCCCTAAGTCGATTTAAGTCGATTACGGGCTAATGGCATTCGCACGTGCCGGAGAGGATGCGCAGACGCATACGCCGATATGCAGATTCGGAAATCTACATGCAAACACACACACACACAGTATTTATGACCATCGTTGTGGCTGGCATTTAAGAGGCCCTGACATTTATAATAGTCAACTGCGAATTACAGACTGAGACCAACTAGAAAATTAAGCCTTTGAGTGTCGGTCTTCCACGTGAAATAACAAAGATCCTTCTAAACACATTACAGCTTAGAAGTCACGCCTGAAGCTTCCATTAATTGCGCCGTTTTGGGTTCAAAAAGTAACATTTAGCAGAGTCATATTTAGCAGGGGTCGGCCCTTCTGTGGTGGGCGTTCAAACAGAAACTTTTGCACGTTAAGGGCGAGGTTGGGTCCAGCCCTGCAGCTCTGAGTCGTGCTCCAACACTGGGGCTACGCCGAGCAGCTCCTTCCACGGACGCTTTTAGCTCATGTTCTCGCTGCTCTCTCCAACTGCCTGCTTCTTGCTCTCTGGAGGGTGGAGGGTTCGCGCAGGGTAGCGAAGCAAGCGGCTTCCCAAAATAGAGGGAGCAAAAGGAAGAAATAACAATATTTTTTAAAAACAAGTTGCCAACACTTGTACGTAACCTGTGCCGAGGAGCGCTCTGAAAACACAAAAACCTAAGCAAATGTGCATATATTTTTATGTGATGGGAATTTCTCCCTCCCTCCCTCCCCCCCATTTAATCTGTTCTTTATCTGATCTCTTTTCATGTCATCTTTCATTGACTGTCTCTTTTTATTATTTCAGTCAGACTTGATACCAAAGGGTTTTTGGCCTTATTGCTATAAGGCTGTGTGTGATGTGTGTGTGTGTGTTGATCCCTCTTTATCGCAAATTCAGCAGCAAACTCTTACGAGCAAGTGGAGGCTTCTTAAGTGCAGGAGAAAGTCACATCAATTCTCACACACACACACACACACACCAGACAATGATGGTGGAGCTAACCACACACTGCAGGTGTAGATACTAGCTGATAGTTGACTCACATACTGTACTGCACCTGTATTCTGCATCAGTGCAATGTGTAAGATAAGACTGTATTGATCCCCCAGAACAGAAATTCAAGCGTTGCAGTAAAACAAGAAACAGATAAGGAAAAGAAAAACTTCTTCAAGATAAAATCAGAATGATAAAGCTACATACAATAACCGATTCTAGAGTACACAAGTAGGTAGCGCGGTTCCATTAATGCCTGAGAAAATTGAAAGCAGCAATGTGTCAGTTTTAAGTAATCTGATATGCAGTAATATCCAATATCTAGCATATAAAATAGTCAGTAGAGGAATCTAAAGTGTGAGGATTTGCAAATGTCTTCTGTTTTATATGATGGCTATCATGAATATTTCAAACCAAGACATCTAAAGACATACAGTAACCTTGGACTTTTCTTTTTTTTGACATTTTATAAGATGAAAGATTAATAGAAAACGACCAATACTTTCATCCATTCAAATTGAAAAATGTATATTTGATGTTGAGGTATCTACTGCTGTCACATCCTCTTGAATGTATTTCCATAAAACAAGCCGATTCACATTTTGTTTTTCCACGATTTCAAAATTTGCTTAACATGCACGCTACATTTTATTGGAAGCTACACTGAAACAGCTGTGCAGCTAGCAAGTACATGCCGTTTCCAAACGAGTGGATGCACACACGCACCAAAAGCCTCAGCGTACAAAGTGAACCCCCCCCCAACAAATCAATTACTCGTATGATTGCCACCTTTAAATGGGAAAGACAAGGAACACAATAGAAAAAGGGCATGAAGGCAATGTTTAAAGAGAAAGAGCAAGAGGAGGAGTGTAAATGAAAGGGACAGGATGCTATCCATCTCTCTGGGTCAGATCGATCACCAAGTGGACGGATCGGTTACACACGACTTGTGTGTGTGTGTGAGCTTCAGTACTGCACTGCTCTAGTTGCAAATGAGATCGGCTCCCTAACAGAGGAAGAGCAAGAGATGAAGGGGAGAGGGAGATGTAGAAGTGGAAAAGAAGAGCAAGGAGGGAGCGTGTCTCTGAGATGGGGCAGAGCACGGCAGAAGATGGAACAAAAACACGTGTGTGGCACGTACGATCTGAGTGTGTGTGTGTGTGTGTGTGTGTGTGTGTGTGTGTGTGTGTGTGTGTGTGAGAGAGGGGAGGCAAGGAGACATAGAGGGCAGCAGAGTCAGCAAACGATAGAGAGACAAGACAAAAAGACAGGCAGAGGAGGTGGAGGAGAGGGGGGGAGAGAAAGGTGGTGGGGTAGAGCTGTGACTGATAACATTGTCGTACTCAGGTTGCCTCAAGGGCAGACAAGACAGAGAGAGAAAGAGAGAGAAAGAGAGGGAATGAGACATAGAGAAAGAAAGAAAACGCGGAAAATTTACGGAGCAGCCCGAGGCGGAAAGGGTTATAAGATGGAAGGTGAGCAAAGATGGAGAGGCAGGACGGAAACGGATAGAAAACAGGAAGAGGAGGAGCACGGCAGCCAGAGATAAATGGCAGAGAAACAAAGAGCAATCCCTAGTAATAGAGTCCGAGGATGAAGAGGAGAGGTAAGAGAGCAGTGGGGGGGAGGAGGGGATTAAGGCATGACACAAGGAAAAGGATGTGAAGGTTTTCCTGAGGAGAAAGAGAAGAAGAAGGGAGGTAGAGGGAGTTACTAAGAGAGTCAGAAAGCACAAGCGAGACAGGGCAGGAGGGCGGCAGGGTAAAGGAGGGGGAAAAGAGGTAAGAAATGGGGGGTGAAGGAAAGATAAAGGTCAAATGTAGGAGTGGAGAGAGGCGCAGGCCGCGTGAGCATATTGACATTCAGCGAGCCGCCGGCTAAAGTAAGCTGTCTGAAGAGGGAGCATTAGCAGAGCGGTGGGGGTGGAGCCGGTCGAGCCAGGAACGGGGCACCCTGCTCGACACCACCTTTTTTTTTAGGGCCGCAGAGTCGACACATTTTTAAGCGGCATTTCACTTTTTTTCCGGAGCGTTTCCACATTTTAGTATGCACGACTCCACGGGAGCTCAGGAGCAGTCGACTTCCAACCTCGACTGCCCTGGGGACTGGCTGTCACTGCAGGCATTCGTGACTTTGTCTCTCACACACACACACACACACACACACACACACACACACACACACACACCCTCTCCTGCTGCAAGCAGTTTTTTGGAACCGATGACACCAGACATAAGGGGTGTGTGTGTGTGTGTGTGTGTTGGAGTAAGTTTTTTAAGGTTTGGTTTGAAAAGGGCAACAGGTTCCTGGTAGTTACTACAGCTCCCTAGAGTGACTAAGCACCGCTCGAGTATTAAGAGTTAAGTAGCAAAAATGGACAACTACAGTGGTGTTTCCCAACACGTCAGTCATTGTAGCTTATTAAAGATCATACGAACGGGCACAAACTGGCCATTCTGCCCGTCAAACTTCCTTTCTCTCTTTAACTAATAGCCCATCGCTTTTATGTTCCGCCCAGAGATCCTGTTTCAAAAGGAAACGCACGGCATTAAGGAAGCAATGATAGCATTCATCGGAGCGCAGGGTGATCCATAAGTAATGTATTCCCATCATCTAAGAGGGATGCTGTTTATTTCCTTGCTTCTCTTTGCTTTAAACGGTGGAAAACATTTAGGATCATCATTTCAAAGCACTGGGTTTCTTTATCATGACTGAAGGTTTCAGAAACTGGGACGTGATTTTGGATGTAGGCCAAAGCAAACCATGTAGTAGGGAGGAGAGTGCTAAATACTGTGCTTTGATATCGACGCCGCTTCGATATCTGAGCTAAATGTTATAAAATAAAACCTCTTCTAGTTCCACGCTAACACCTAATGGAAGAAACATTGAGCCAGCAATTTGTGTCAACCTGTAAAGTCAGCATGATATACGGTTGTGTCTTGGCGTTACTCAAAGTATTGGGTTGCACACATTATACGTCTCCATATAAATCAGGCTCAAGTTTCCGGAGAGCTTTCCCATGATACACCGGTCCTTCCCCGACGCCGCTGGTGTCTCTGTCTGTCTGTCTCCGTCTCTCCTCCCTCGTCACCGGGGCTGCGACTGTTATCAACACTCACTGTCACTCCGCCTGTGTCTAGGTTACAGTTACTATGACAACTACTACGCATGCCAATCAGCGGCAGTGACTCATCTCTATACCCCGCCGACACGGAGCCGTATTCAGGGATGTCCGCATGCACGAGGCGCGCGTGTTTACCGGGAGTCTTGCCGCAGCATGAAGGCCGGTGACCCAGTTTGAGTCTCTGACCCCGCAGTCTTAAGAAGAGGGTTTCGATGATATAACACTAATCCTCTCCTACAGGTTTCTAGGTAATGGTTTCTATGGGGACTGGCTGTGTTCAGTGCTTTGGCATGTTGTTGCTAGGCGATATGCTACGGTGGTGAAGAGGTTCTTGCGAAAGTGTACATTCAAGAAGGTGTTCGTTGCAGGGGTATCCGCCATTCCTCAATATGGATTCTTTTTGTGCTACGAGGCACCAAGTGGGCATTCGTGCAGAGTGGCACTCATTTAAGAGCAGCCCACACAAGCACACGTGTGTGTAGAGCAGGCTCTCGCTCCAGCTCTGTCTAGTCAGAGTGGGTGGAAGACAGCAAAGCAGACCTAAAAAACACACTTCAGACATCTCTTTAAAAAAAAACATTTCTGACCAGGTAACGAGTCTTAAACACATTTGTGCTCTTTGTTTTCCTCTCCCTCCAGGTCTGTGGATCGCCAGGCATTCTACCATGCCTGTCCCCCCATTCTTCAATCCCCGCAGACAGAAACACCTGCCCCACACGCACCTCCACCCTGAACAGAGGGCAGAGCGCTCCGCCTCCCCCTCCCTCTTCCCTCCATCCATCCTCTCGCTCTCTCTCCTCCCCCCTCTCGTCGTCTCATCTCTGCCCGCCTCATCCCATCTCGTCCACTGCGCGTGCCCCGGGGCCACGAAAAGAACCCTTCCCGACCCCGTCCCTTTCCCGGCCTTTCACTGGCTGACTCTGGTCACATGCTGCCTGCTGCCTTCTCTGATCGGAGCACAGGAGACGTGGGGCATGGTCTCGGCCTGCCCCTTCCACTGCGTGTGTCGGAACCTCTCCGAGGCGCTCAGCACGCTCTGCGCCGACAAGGGCCTCCTGTTTGTGCCCTCGCACGTCGACCGCCGCACCGTGGAGCTGCGACTGGCCGACAACTTCATCACGGAGGTGGGCGGGATCGACTTTGTCAACATGTCGGGATTGGTTGATCTGACTCTGTCGAGGAACACCATCCACCTGATCCGACCGATGACCTTCGGCGACCTGGAGAGTTTGCGCTCGCTGCATCTGGATGGTGAGCCAAACCCGTAATCCCATTATTAACACTGAACTTAAACCCTTAAGTAGTATTACATTACATTACAGTCATTTAGCAGACGCTTTTATCCAAAGCGACTTACAAATTCAGAGTCTATCACATTTCTACACCGTAGGCACAGCTACGGGAGCAATTACTCATTGCTCCCATTACTTCATATTTGTGTTTCCAGGTAATCGATTGACATCACTTGGACCCAGGGACCTCGCAGGTTTGGTCAATCTGCAACACCTGATCATCAACAACAACCAGCTGGTCAAAGTCTCCGTCCAGGCGTTTGACGACTTCCTGCTCACACTGGAAGACCTCGACATGTCCTACAATAACCTCAGGAAGTAAGCTTTTGCCTCCATTGTGATCACACAATGCACTCCGTTCTGCTTTGTTCAGTGGAAACATACCGTTAACACTCCGCTCAGGTGTCGGTCTCAAGCGTACGCTGCAGACGCACAGCTCGGCTCATAAAAAATGGCAAGGCGTGGTGTAAACTGCTGTGTATGATCTCGCAAAAGTCAGCAGACACAACGAAGAAGAACCAGCTCAAACTGCTGAGGCTGGGAGGAGTCGACTAACGGCTCAGGAAATTGAAAGCAAATTAATTTTGATGAGGTCCTAGTTTGCTTTGACTTAGATTTTGTTAAGATTTGATGAGCGCACGCCTGCGCTCACCCCGCTGTGTAGGAGCGTGCATCGCTTCAGCTACTCTATAAGGTTCCTCCTAGTGCACCGTGTGGTATTCCACTCGTCTCAGTCCAGCACAATGGAGACGCCATCCCTCTGCACTGAATGATAAGTCGGAACAATGATGATATTCTCTATCGAGCCCCTATTCCCCTCTTCACATTCCCTCACTGCATTGTTGAATTCAGCAGCTTCTGGCTGTCAGTTCTGATTAGGATGTTTCATTCGTCTCCTCTCCAGGAGCTCTCTGGCCTCTCTCCAACCTCCACCGACCATAAGAAAGGAGTAAAGAGTCTTCATGATGCACACAACAGCAACTGCTGTTTGCCCTTTGTTGTTGAGGAGTCTTTACAAACTGAGATTCAAAGTGAGCCTGCATCACCGATTCTTCCTTATCAAGTTTAAAAAACGCTCAAAACTGGAAACGGGTCATTTAATATGAGGACTCTTCTTGTGCAGCGGAGGAGCTTATCCAGGTGTGGAGGGAACTTATGGCTACTTAGCGTCTCCTGCAGCTTAGATTTGTTCAAATACTGCTTTTACAGAGCAACTCTGGAGCCCATGGTGTTAACTTTCTGGGACACTAGTGTTGAGCAATGCGGCAAGGATGGCAACTGCCAACTAGTCTTTGACCTAATTATCGGTTGGCTTCTGCGCTACATGCGACTCCTGTTCTGTATCAAGATCTGTTTGTAAGATGAGTTTAAGGGACACTCCGGTTGACTAGGGTACAAAGTGTAAATACTGTTTTCGGTCGAAACCGACGACTGAGAACCAGCGGCACATTT